AGATTCATCCTTCAGGAGATATTTTATTGAGTGAAAAGTTAGATATTTCTCAAAAGATACCAACAATTTACTTTCTTCATGCTGTTTTTAGTTTTAATCATGTACAGATTAGGAGATCATGATAAAAGATTAATGTGTGCATAATTTTAGATAAGTAGTGTTTATTGATTACACTTTTTTGCTAAGCTAGAGTCCCAGATCCATTACTTAGTACATATATCTATTTAAAAGGTTTACTTTTAAACTTGTCAATTTTTTTTTTTTTTGATAATCTAGATTACAGACTTTATCCACATATTTTGTAATCTGATGTTGTTTTTCATAAGTGTGTGTGAAAAATATTAACTTTGTAATTCCAAGGCTTATTATTGATGAAAAGAATTACATAATTTTTTTTCACATTTGCATCTAATACTTAATTTATTAATGTTACTTTTATTGAGCTTTAAAAACTCAAAGTTCTTTATTGCAATGTTTTCTAAATGTTTTAGATCTGGATGTGTGGAGGAACACTTGAAATTGTCACGTGTTCTCACGTGGGGCATGTTTTCCGTAAATCCACACCCTATACTTTCCCCGGTGGCACAAGTAAAATTGTAAACCACAACAATGCACGATTAGCTGCTGTCTGGCTGGATGAATGGAAAGATTTTTACTATGCCATTAACCCTGGTAAGTTACTGGTTACAAGTAATGTAACCCTGGTAAGTTACTGGTTACAAGTAATGTAACCCTGGTAAGTTACTGGTTACAAGTAATGTAACCCTGGTAAGTTACTGGTTACAAGTAATGTAACCCTGGTAAGTTACTGGTTACAAGTGATGTAACCCTGGTAAGTTACTAGTTACAAGTGATGTAACCCTGGTAAGTTACTAGTTACAAGTGATGTAACCCTGGTAAGTTACTAGTTACAAGTGATATAACCCTGGTAAGTTACTGGTTACAAGTGATGTAACCCTGGTAAGTTACTGGTTACAAGTAATGTAACCCTGGTAAGTTACTGGTTACAAGTAATGTAACCCTGGTAAGTTACTGGTTACAAGTAATGTAACCCTGGTAAGTTACTGGTTACAAGTAATGTAACCCTGGTAAGTTACTGGTTACAAGTAATGTAACCCTGATAAGTTACTAGTTACAAGTAATGTAACCTAATGGAAAGATTTCTATCATACCATCAACTCTGGCAAGTTACTGGTCACAATCAATCTCATTTCAATTATCACTAAAATGTGTCCTTTTGAAAACCATAATTATTGAGTAAAGTTAAATATATATGATTAAGAGAACCAAAATTCTTGTATTCATCATCTTTCTTTATTTTAGGTGCAAAAAAAGCTGAAATGGGTGACATCACATACAGGAAAGAGTTACGAGAGAAATTAAAGTGTAAAAGTTTTCGTTGGTATTTAGAAACTATATATCCTGAGTCCCAGATGCCTTTGGATTATTATTACCTTGGTGAGGTAGGTTTTGTAGAAACACTGTTCATGCCAAGAAGTGTTATATTGCAAAATTGTATGTGTTTTCATCAAGGTAACATCAAGGTAGTGTGTTTTCAACTCACTGCTTTACAGTTTATGTAATCAGTTACATCAAGGTAGTATGTTTTCAGTTCACTGCTTTACAGTTTATGTAATCAGTTGCAGTGAGTTGAAAACACACTACCTTGATGTGACTGTACACCTACATCTGTCAAATACACGGGTGAATCATGTGGACTGACTGTACACCAACATCTGTCAAATACACAGGTGAATCATGTGGACTGACTGTACACCAACATCTGTCAAATACACAGGTGAATCATGTGGACTGACTGTACACCAACATCAGTCAATTACACAGGTGAATGCTGTTTGCTGAATGAACTCCAATATCTGGATCCCATTGCATTGAGAGATAAGTGAAGTCATTCTAAACTTTATTACCTTTTCATCATATTTCCACATCTGGTTTCCTCCCATTCCATGACATCTTATAAGCTTAACAGGCCCATCAACTGATGCTGCATCCAAACAGTTGTCATCAGACATTATTTGTTGTCTTTTTGTGTATGCAAAAACCTGGAAGGAAAATAATTATTAAAAAATGTATTTCAGTTATATAAATGATCAAGATCGCATATTGCTTATCTCAGGATAAGTAGTACACTCAAACTATTAACCCAGGTTTTACAACATGTCAGGAGTAGGACACACAAACTATTAACCTAGGTTTTACAACATGTCAGGTTAGTTTGCTGAACTGAAGGAAAACATTAATACTTGAACTGCCAAATTAAGCAAATTAGCAAAACTGATATAATGTTAATGCATGTTTGTAAGCTTGAGAAAGGTACCAACCTGGTTTCCACCCAATCCATGACAAGAACCCATGGCTGCATTTTCACCACTCTTACGGCCAAACGTGTCCAAACAACCCTCAGATTCCACATTCTTTATCTGAAACAGAATTTGTTTTTCAAGTTGAAAACACAATACCTTGATGTAACTGATTACATAAACTGTACAAGTCCACATGATTCACCCGTGTATTTGACAGATGTTGGTGTACAGTCAGTCCACGTGATTCACCTGTGTATTTGACAGATGTTGGTGTACAGTCAGTCCACATGATTCACCTGTGTATTTGACAGATGTTGGTGTGCAGTCAGTCCACATGATTCACCTGTGTATTTGACAGATATTGGTGTACACTCAGTCCAGACTGCACACCAACATCTATCAAATACACAGGTGAATCATATGGACTGAGTGTACACCAACATCTGTCAAATACACAGGTGAATCATAGGATGTTGGTGTGCAGTCAGTCCACATGATTCACCTGTGTATTTGACAGATGTTGGTGTACAGTCAGTCCACATGATTCACCCGTGTATTTGACAGATGTAGGTGTGCAGTCAGTCCACATGATTCACCTGTGTATTTGACAGATGTTGGTGTGCAGTCAGTCCACATGATTCACCCGTGTATTTGACAGATGTAGGTGTGCAGTTAGTCCACATGATTCACCCGTGTATTTGACAGATGTAGGTGTGCAGTTAGTCCACATGATTTACCTGTGTATTTGACAGATGCTGGTGTGCAGTCAGTCCACATGATTCACCTGTGTATTTGACAGATGTTGGTGTACAGTCAGTCCACATGATTCACCTGTGTATTTGACAGATGTTGGTGTGCAGTCAGTCCACATGATTCACCTGTGTATTTGACAGATGTTGGTGTGCAGTCAGTCCACATGATTCACCTGTGTATTTGACAGATGTAGGTGTGCAGTTAGT